AGGGGCCAAAGGCCCATGAAGAGTGGGTTCAGGAAAGGATTTTCTCAGATAAGCAGAACAATTAGAAGAAGGGCTCCCACCAGCACTTCTGCTCTACATATCATGTCATTATCTTATTGTACCCATACCATACAAGGATAAAAAACAATCTTTCGTTAGATAAAGAAAGATACTTTATTTTTTACTGCAAGACATAGCTTATCCAAATTGTCCATCCAGGAAAAGTAGAGAAACTGAAAAACAAAAATAAGAACTTAACCTCTTAGCAGACACATAAACAAGACTTCCTCATCTCTAGGTAGAGTGTCTTCTCACACATATAAATGACCATGACAATATGGTATTTACATATTTCTTTTCTTTCTTTTTTTTTTTTTAACATTTTTTAAAGAGAGAGAGTGAGAGAGCACAAGCAGGGGGAGCAGCAGAGGGAGAGGGAAAAGCAGATTCCCCACTGAGCAGGGAGCCCAAGGACCCCAGGATCATGACCTGAGCCAAAGGCAGATGCTTAACTGACTGAGCCACCCAGGTGCCCCTGTCTATCTCTTCTTTCTGTTAGCACTGCATTTTAAATGTCCTTATTCATTCAATATTTAGATTGTCCCTTTATGTGTTCAAGAATATGCTAGGCAAAGAGTTAAGAAGTCCTTTCCCCACCCTGAAGTAGGTCATACTTTTGTTGAAAGAGAAGTAATCCCTCATAGTACAGTGTGGTTTGTGACATGATAGGAGTTGTTCTCTGGAGAGGCAAACAGATTTAGACAAATCAGACTCTAAGGGTTTTCTGTGAAGTGACAAATTTTAAGGAGTCATAAATAGCAAGAATAAGATAGTAACACATATTAGGAAGCTAATATGTACTTGACCAAGGCAATGTGTGAATTAGGGTTTTCTTTCTTTTAAAGATTTTATTTATTTGTCAGAGAGAGAGAGAGAGAGCACAAGCAGGGGGAGCAGCAGAGGGAGAGGGAGAAGCAGACACCCCGCTGAGCAGGGAACCCAATGCGGGACTCGATCCCAGGACCCCGGGATCATGACCTGAGCCAAAGGCAGATGTTTAACCAACTGAGCCACCCAGGCGTCCCTGAATTTGGGTTTGCTATGGCCCCAAATGGAAGGTCTGTGGGTTATGCTTTTGGAAGTCAGGTGCTGAGAAAGCAGACTCCAAGACAAAATTGCCATGCAAGGAGTTTATTAGGGAGGGCTATGGGCACAACACATGTAAGAAGAGAAGGCAGAAGTGGAAGAGAGGAAAAGCTGAAATGCAGGCCAGTCACAACATGGCTTTAGTCAAAACCTGGGTGACGGGGCTATGAAGCTGCAATGACCCTTTAGAGGTGGAGTGAGGGGTCTGAGCCTTGTTCCTCCCACATCCAGTCATTGGATACAGGGGAGAAAACTTGGGCTAAATGACTCATTTCAGCCAAAGGCAATTCCAAGAATGCCCCCCAAATCTCTGTATTTACCAAACATCTATACTTCTGGATTATTGAACCAGTCTGCCATCTTTTACCCTAGAAACCTCCATCTTTCAGAGGTTTGATTTCCTTTGTGTTCACATCATATTCCTCATCCAGTCAGATAATGGTTGTAGGTTTGATTTCATACAATCACAGGCATGAGGAACAGAAACCCTTCCAGACAAAAACTTGGTTTGGGTCATTTTCCTGAGAAGACAGTTCCTGTCACGGGGTGCACTTGGGGTATCATAATCTCTATATCCAGCTTCTTTAAGAAGGAGAAAGACCATCGAATCTGCTGCTGTGAAAAGGCAGTAAAAAGAAAAAGAAAAAACCCTCCTCATCAGCTATCTCCCACCTAGGATGGTATTGTGGGAAAATATGAGATCAGTAATCTGAAGGAGACCAGGCCTTTATCTGTTAAAAGTCTACCAACGCTATCAAGAAACAAGAGACATGGTTTGTAATGTGGAGTCTTAGGACCAACAGCATCAGCATCATCTAGAAATTGTTAGAAATGCAAACACTCAGGCCCCACTACAGACTTATTGGATCAAAAACACTGGGCGTGAAGCCATGCCATCTGTTTTAACAAGCTCTCCAGATGTTTCTGATACATACTGGAGGTGGGGCTTAGTTTATTGTAGGTGATAAGTATCCTAAGCCAAATCTCTACAAGGAGCCATATTTATTGTTCTTTTTTTAAATTTCAAAAATAAAATCATTTAATTTTTTTCCTGATTCTAAAATGAATCCATATTCATGGGAGAAATGTTTAAAACTCAAAAAGTATAAGACAATGAAAATTCTATCACCCAGGTAGCACTACTGCGAACATTTTAGCGCATTTTTTCAGACATTTTACATGCATTTTTATTTATAGAAAATATGATGATACTATACTTGTTTATTTTGTAACCTGCTTTTTCATTTAATAATCTATCTAGCTCAGTACATGTAGGTGTAACAAGGATAACTCAGATGACCCAGCTTGTGAGTACAAATGATCTTACCTTTACTCTGAGCCCACCTATGCCCTGCTAGCAGGGCATCTAGTCTCTTTATTTTTATTTATTTGTTTGCTTGTTTGTTTGTTTTTTCATCTAGTCTCTTTAAAGTATTTATCTTCCTCAATATCTCCAAGTTTAGAACTCTGGTTTTAAAGTTTTAAGATGGCACATATATTTAAAAGCAAGCAACTTTTATTTTGTATTAGGCAGTGAAGACAGTTATAGAAGCAGGATGGCAACTTAATAAAGCTAAATGTTTGGGGAAACATTAGCATATACAGTATCAGTTTTAGCTTCTAAATATGAGTATGTATTATCTGCTATGAATTTCTACTTGGCACCTCCTCCATTCTGTTTCCCTCAATTCTGAGGAAAGAAATGTCCAGGGAGAGAAAATGTTCTTTCTTTAATTCAAGGCTGCAGACAGTGTGTGAACTTGAATAAGGAAAGCCAGAGCAAATTATCATCATTCTTGTTATCATTATTATTTTGCAGAGATATTGCACAGTGTTGTTCGGGTTTGTGGGGTCTGGAACACAGTGCAGCTTTCTGAGTCAGGTGGATCTGGTTGAGAATCTTTGTTCTGGCATTGGCTGGCTCTATGGCTTGTTACATTACTTTGAGCAAGTTACTTCACCTTAAAGGTCTTGTCCAAGACTTGTCAAGGAAATGTACGAAATAATAATACAGTTATGCTAATTAAACAGGGATGAAATAGGTTTTGTTCTTCAGCAAGTTTCCATTTCACCTCAAATTATGCAATGAATCTAAAGCAGAACATGACGTCAAGTAGTGGAACTAGACCCAGACTTTTGGGCCATGGCTCTGCTTCTTACATTGGGCGAAAGTCACTGTGACTGTAGGAAAGCCACCAAGTCTCACTGAATGGCAGTTTCTCTGGCCCCACAGTTGCTCCATGAGGATTTCTGAGAGCTCCTGGTTGGAGGAGTTGGACTGCCTTCATCACCGGCAGCTCTGGCGAGTGGAAGCCCTCTCCCTTGGTTGGTGTAGGGGCCCTTCTGTCCGGCTCTCTTCCTCCTGGCCACTCCCTTCCCCGCCAAGGTAAGCCTGGTGCAGTTCTGTTTCTTCTAATCTTCATCTAACACTTCCTTTTGCCGGCAAGACTCCTTCATGCATATTTCCTTTTCTTTTTTTTAAGATTTTATTTATTTAAGAGAGAGAGAGAGCATGAGCAGGGGGAGGGGCAGAGGGAGATGCAGGCTCCCCACTGGGAGCCCCCAGCAGGGTTGATCCCAAGACCCCAAGATTACAACCTGAGCTGAAGGCAGATGCTTAAATGACTGAACCACCCAGGCACCCCTCCTTCATGCATATTTCTAATAACTGGCACTTGTTAGATGCATTTTAGTTTATTATTTTACTTTGTAATGTTCATGGGACTAAAAATTAAAATATAAAAATAAGCTGTAAAACGACCTCTGCCCTGTCCTCTTCCCTTAGTGTCTCCTCCCCAAAATACAGGTTATCATTGTAATTTACTTCTTATACATTCTTTATTTGTTCATACACAAGTTAGGGCAAATGTAAAATTTGTTTTACATTTTAATGTCAAATATAGCATTTTATATACACCGTTCTGCATCTTGCCTATTTTTTTTTACTTTTTTTTTTCAGTATAGGAAGAGCATCCTCATCATTTTCTCCAGCTGAGTAGTGTTCCTTTGTGTGAATATACTTTACTGTCTCTAATTAAAAGAGTTTGTGTGGTTTCCTGTTTTTGGATATTATAAATAATGCTGCAATGAATAATACTGTACATAAGTCATTACACACATGTGCAAGTGTTTTTATAAGATAAATTTCAAACCCAAAATTTATGGATCAAAGACTATCATTTTAATAGGTATCCCCAATTTGTCTCTATAGTGATCCTACCAATTTCCAGTGCTCTGGCAAATTATAAGAGCATCCCTCTCCCAAATCTCCAGAGAGTGTGGGCCTTCACCTATCTGTTATAAATGGCATGTTATTCGCTTTTAATTTGCATCTTTTATTATTATGAGTGAGGTTGAATCTCTTCTCATGCATTTGTTTTCCCTCTGCAATCTGCTTGCTCATGTCCTTTGGCCCTATTTCTATTGTGTCACCTGTAACAAATATTCAGTGTGTATTGATATTTTCAAATCTCACAGTGCACATTATCCCTAGTATTTCTCATTGTGTCTACTAATTTCTGGCAAAGGAATCACTGGAATGGATGTTCTATTTTAAGAAAAGTATTATTACAATGGAGACATATTTCATTTTATTTACCTGGTCAACTTTGATGAAAATATACCCATTTGAAGAACCAATTATGAAACGTTAATGGATCTACTTTAACTCATAAAACTTAGGATGAATAGAAAATACAAAGTGACATTACAAGATACAGACAATTGTAGTCAATATGCATAATCTTAAAGGACAGATTAAAAAAATATATATATATACATAAAACCCAAACAATACTACCAACTTATGAAAAAAAGGAGTAATAGTGTCTGGAAAAGTCCTCCCACCCCTCCACCTACCCTATGCTTTTAAAGCCTGCAGTTGGCTCTTGCTCTACATTCTTCAAGGAATCCATTTCTTGTTTTCTTAGCTTTCTTACCAGTTGGAAGGCAAAGAACAGACACCGGTTGATTTCTACTCGAACAATGGTCCAGGCACAGCGGCTGTACTCCTGGTTTTCCAGGTAATCATGGATCCTCCAGAAGTACATTTTAACATGCAACCTAGGGTTCTCACCACTCAGAATGCCACTTTTCTGCTCTACTTCCAGGCCTCTAAGCCCTTCTAGGTATTCCAGCTGTTGATGAAGTTCAGTGAGGAAATTCTCCATGTGCCTTTCCTCCCAACCATGCAGAGAAATATCTGCCCTGAAGAGGTTGAAGATCTGCAGAAGCATCTCATGAAGAATGACCAGTGCCTGTCCTCTCTGGTCCCAGTGACGATTCAGAGACTGCTGGGGAAGTAGGAAGTTTGTCCTGTGTGGTAGACACTGCTGAATTGATGATTTTTGCAATTTATTCCAGAGTCTTAAACTCTCTCTGTTTACTCTTTGTTGGATGAGAGCCAGTTTCAGTCCGACGGAGAAGAGGGTAGAAGAGGCCAACAGCACCAACACAATTTCAAAGAAATGCTTGTTAATCATGGTGAAGGTCAAATATGCCACTTATCTTTGTACAGACTTAGTAGAGCTCCAGCTTTAGTGAATGTTGGCTTTTCATGCATCTCAGATAGTTCTGGAAGGTGTTCTCTCTTGTAGGTTTGTTTTCTAATGCTGTCATTACTCTAAGATTACATGTTAGGTTTTCTGGTTCCCTTTTCATAGTGTTTATGGGACATTTCCTCCACTTCCCCCATTGTGTTGGCTGTTTGATGAAGTAACCAAAAGAACTTGTTTCATTGTATGTGTTCCTTCAGATAATTATAGACTAGTCATCCAATATGATTTTCTATTGCCCTCATTATTACATACAAAGTTTCACTCAACACAATATGCTTTCTAAATATTTAGTCAAGCTTATTAAAGTTCTTTTATTGAGAGTATTTTTTAAAGGAGTACTCTTTTAATATCTCTATTAAATATATATCTGAGTAATATTTATCAGAGGTTTAGCAGCCCCTATAGGGCACTCGGGGGGGAAAATTAAAATCTATACAGACTACTAAATTTAAAACCTCAAGTAGAACTGTACATTTGCACAAATGTTTGAGCAAATTAACCTTAAAATACATATGAGCAATCTTAAATTGTTTCATATCTTATTCAAGCAGTTGAATATCTAAGTTTCTGGCCTATGAAAGGTAATGTGAAAGAGAAAAAAATTAGCAAAAGAAGGTTGTTATAAAATTATTGCAACTGCAGAATATTAGAAATGGCCTATAGGTCCAAAAATAAGGGAAGGGTTAGATAAATGTTGGTAAATCCATATAATTAAATGCTATGTAGGGGTGCTTGGGTGGTCCAGTGGGTTAAGCATCTGCCTTCGGGTCGGGTCATGATCCCAGGGTCCTGGCATCGAGTCCCGTATCGGGCTCCCTGCTCAGTGGGGAGTCTGCTCCCTCCACCTTCCCCCGCTTGTGCCCACTCTCTCTTAAATAAATAAAATTTAAAAAAATGCTATGTAACCATTTTTAAAAAAGATTTTTAAAATTTATTTGAGAGAAAGAGAGAGGGAGAGAGAGAGAGCATGCGCACCGTGGGGGAGAGGGAGAGGGAGAGAGAAGCCCAAGCAGACTCCGTACTGAGTACAGAGCCCTACTCGGGGCTCGATCTCACGACCCTGAGATCAGACCTGAGCTGAAACCAAGAGTCTAATGCTTAACCAACGGCATCACCCAGGTGCCCCGCTATGTAACCATTATAAATAATAAAGTTATATGTAAACAGATCGGGGGCAGTTGGCTAGTGATATTCCCTAGGGTACCTATAACTATGGTAAATTTTACATCAATATCTTTAAATAAATAATGCCTCTTGAATGGCAAATACCCAGTTCCATATTCTAAATCCTCCTGAATATGCCTCCAATCTACCTTTCCAATCTTATCTCCCACTGTTGCTCCAAATGTTGTGTGAGGGAACCTGAACTCCAGATAAGGTTAATGACTCACTATTTCCTTAATACAGCTAGCCAGGGTGTGTGTGTGTGTGTGTTTGTGTGTTTATTGGACGCTTTCTCTCTCAGAAACATCACCCACACCTCCTTCACCCCCAGTACCTGTCTGTGCAAGGACTAAGGATTACTTCTTTACAGCCTAGATTTTATTTTTAAGAAGTTATAATCTCTCAGGGAGCCTGGGTGGCTCAGTCAGACCTTGGGCTTGGGTCATGATCCCAGGGTCCTAGGATCAAGCCCCGCATCGGGCTCCCTGCTCAGCGGGGAGCCTGCTTCTCCCTCTCCCACTCCCCCTGCTTGTGTTCCCTCTCTCACTGCCTCTCTCTGTCA